GGACATTATTGACTGTATTACTGATATGTGAGAAGATATGTCAGGGAGTGGATGGAATACTTTGAAGACTTGGCTCTTGTTATTGTTTCACATTGTTTAGTAAGAAAATTATGGTCATATGAAGCCTACACCCAGGACACACCTTACTCAGTGAAAGATTTCTATCAATAACACAGATGAAAGCTGCTATTGAAGTCTATTATCTGGGCTAACTTTTGGCTATGGATGCAAGAAGTCATTTTAATAGCCTAGCTCCGTTCACTACTTAAACTATTAACACTCCAGTCCCATAGGGAAGTGGTCTGATATAGTAATTACAGAGAGCTAAGCTATGCATCTGACAGTGATACTAAGCTTGAGTTCCAGCTCTACTATTTCCGAAGTAGGTGACCTTGGGCAAGTTACCTAAACTCTTAAACCGCCTAAATACCCTTATCTATAAAATGAAGCTAGTAACAGAATCTAATTTGTGGAGTTACTGTGAGAATTGAAAAACATAGTTTATGTCCTGGGCTCCCATATGGGTAGTATTTAATAAATATAACCCTACTATTAGTTATTCATTAGTATTAGTTATTAATAATAATAACAAAGAGATTATGTACTGGACTTGAATATGGGTAGTATTTAATAAATATAACCTGGCTGGGTACAGTGGATCATGCCTGTAATCCCAGCACTCTGGGAGGCCGAGGTGGGCAGATCGCAAGGTTGAGACTGAGACCATCTTGGCCAACATGGTAGTCTCCTGCAGTCCCACCTACTCAAGAGACTGATGCAGGAGAATCCACTTGAACCCGGGAAGCACAGGTTGCAGTGAGCTGAAATCACATCACTGACTGCACTTCAGCAGGGTGACAGAGTGAGACTCCATCTCAAAATAAATAAATAAAACCCTGCTATGTGCTATTAATTCGAATTAGTATTAGTTTTTATTGATAATAATAGATTGTTTATGTAATGGGTTTGCATATGGGTAGCATTTAATAAATATGTCCACCCACACATACATGCATGCACACACTCCTTTAATGATTAAAGACTCCAGCCTTGTTGATGTGGTGGCTTGATTTTCTTATTTTTTGAGATGGAGTCTCACCCCATTGCCAGGCTGGGACCACAGGCGCGCACCACCACGCCCAGCTGATTTTTTTATATTTTTAGTAGAGACGGGGTTTCACCATGTTGACCAGGATAGTCTCAATCTCCTGACCTCATAATCCACCCATCTCGGGCCTCCCAAAGAGCTGGGACTACAAGCATGAACCACCTTGCTCCTTTCTACAGAATGATGTACTTGGCCAAAGGCTCTTACCTCTTATTCTTAGTTTATGTCAAATAGTGTGTAAAGCACGTCTGAAGTTCAGCACTGAAGAAGGCAGGACATCAGTTCATACATCAGAAGCAAATGCCAGCAGTGTATTTTGAACTTTGCTACAGGCTGTAGGGAGTATTAGAGAAGTTTGAAGTAGGCCTCTGGGGACACTTAATTTATTAAATAAACTTCATGTACCAAAAAGAAACCCAAGAGGGATGTCAAAAGCTGCTGCTTGAGAGAAAATATTCACTGCATCTTAGAAGCAGCTGACAGACTCCAGACACTAGCAGTGGTTGGCTGGTGGGTTGTGAGTAGGGGATGGAGTAGAAAAGAGAACTAGGAAAGAAAGAGCCAGAAAATTACAATTGCACTCACCGATTCACAGACTGCCCTTTCTTTCAATCTCCTTTTCCCCCTGACTTGACCCTTAATGGGTCAGAGACAGCAGCTAGCTAACAAGCGAGAAGGTGAGCAGGTAGGAAGAAAAAGCCTTCTCCATTTCACTAACCATTCCAAGACAGGTGAGATAGTTTTTCAGATTTAAAGCAGGCTTGTGAGAGAGAGGGGTGACTTCTGAGCACAGTAGGCTTTATAATGAATGAACTATACAAGAATTATACCTCATAATGAATGAACTATAGTCTTGCATACTAGATGCCAGACACTTTTCTAATATAAATTACTATTCTTGTCATTGACACAGATGAGAATATCTAGAAGACCCACCCTATATTTCATTTGGAGGCAGGAGAATTATAAGTTCAAAAACACGGTTTAGAAGGGGCAACAAAAGAAAAACTTCAGTTCTTTATATTTCATTGTTCCCTGCTGAATTCTGCTGTTTCAATAAAACATTTACCCATCTAATAATTATTCAAATATTTTGCTTTTCATTTAGAAGTTCGCTCTGTAGGTTATAAAAATGATCTAATAAATTAAGTTGCTTTATTTTACAAAAAAAATTGCTTTGTAAAATCTGTCTTCACCCAGAGCATAAAAGGAGTATTTCCAGTGCTGTTTCATTTTCTTTTCTTTTCTTTTTTTTTTTTTTTTTGGAGATGAATAAAAAACAAAAACAAAAATCTCCTTTTTTCAGTGTCCTAGAAACTGTTTTGAAAAAGCCAAGCATTCATGGCTGGATGAAGGCATGAGCAGTAGTTCCTTTATAAGTGAAAGAAAGAACAGTTCAATCAAGCATGACCACCACAGTTTCCTTAAAACGTTTGCAAAATGTACTGAGCAGACACCATGTTTTCTGATTGCTAAACTAGATCGAAGTATTGTGGGTATGAGAGTTTCCACAGGAAAGAATACAAAACATTACACAGGATGCCACAGAAGCCATGTGGAGTGAAGGAAATGCAAACCTGTGAGTTAGGTCTTTGAAGGTCTGTGCACCTGCTGTTCAGCATAACTGAGATGGTATGTTTTATTTCACATATAGAAAAATGATCAAATGGCAGATAGCTATCTTTTCTTTAAAAAATGTGTTTTAGAGAAACTGAGAAACTACCTTTTCAGACAGAAAAACAGAATATACTGATCTTTGTTTTCTAAAGTAAGAACAACAGATTTTATTGGCATACAAGTTACTCATAACTGATTTACACACCATACTGTAAGTCAACGGTTAATGTCTTTTTAAATCATGCATCAATTTCTGGAACTTCTAGCTACAGGGAAAGTAATTAGGTTAGCATCTTTACTGTCCAATCTACCAAAAACTTTTCATGAAATGCTGACACATTCTTATCCTCTGTTCCCCTTCCTCCAATCTATTTTTAGTTACTTGGTTTAGGGGCAATTATTGAATTTGTTTATGTAATACAAAAGGGGCATCTCACATTAACACAAATTAAATCTTCCCTAATTGCAGAGAATTCCACCATTGAAAGGAAGGATGAATTTACTGGATGTCCCTTTTAGTTCTCTAAACACAGAAGTATTGAATTATAAATACAAAATAATTTTATAAAGACCTCAAGAAGATTAATTATTCCTATGCATTATTTGTACATCATGATCAATAAATGCTCATATGTCATGACAAAATATAGATTAGACTGTGGACCTCTTTACATACATGGCATAGTAAAGCGGGTAAAAAGATGGCCCTGAAATCATATATAAGCTACCAAATGCTGCATTTGAAATTTAATCTCTCTGTATCTCCATTTGTTCAGCTGAAATATGGGCATAATAATAATATCTCTCATTAAAGGTTATTTTGAAGATTACATAAGGTAAGAAAATAAACTAAATTATGTTCTCCCCTATTAAATCCATTCAGTGACTTTCTATTGCCCTTTTGATAAAATCTCCACCCCTGAACCTGGCCTTGAAGGCCCTACATGATGTAGCTACCTGTATATCCAACTTCACCTTATCTACTCTATTCACATCTAGCTGAAAGTATTTTTTTTTCAGTTCCTCCAGAGTTCCTGCTTTTTGCTGCCTCCAAGGTTTCACAAATTCTCTTCTCTGCCTGGAACGCATCTCCACCCTCCTCCTCACATGCACAGCACACGTAGCTCCCGCCCACCAGCCTTCACATCTCAGTTTAAATGTCACTTGCTTTAAAAGGACTTTTCAGATTTACCAATCAAAAATCATTCATTCTCCTTATTTTTCTATAGCATAGAATGTTGTTTTTAATATTTACCACAAATGTTTGTGGTATCTGGTTTGAAGTGAATGGACAGACAGACAAGAATCAGGCAGAAGAGGAGTTCAATGCTGCTTTTGTTAATTTTAGATGTGTCAGGCTCTGGAAGCTATGGTTAGATCCAGACTTCCCATGGTCTCAGAGCTTGGAAGAGCAACACAGAATTCTGGCTTTCTGAGGGCAGCCCACACAAAAAGTAAGAGGAGATGAAGAGAAGGGATTGTTGGGCCAATGCCTCCTTCCAAACATACCAAAAAATAAGTGACTCGACTATCACAGGCTGAAGGTGTGGAGTGGAATGCAGAGAGGGCAGAAAAGGTTAGGAGGGTTAGAAACTCCCTCCACCTGAACTAAAGACTGAGAGTAAGGAAAAAGTATTTCTTCTGCCTCAACTAAAATTTATGAACTGGAACCACATGCACTGACAGTTTTTGAGGTTAAATATAGATAAATATAATCACATTTACATGATTTAAGCATAATTATACATGGAAATGTTGTATACACATGGAAATACATACGTATACATGCATAACTATCCTATAGAGTCTGTAACATATATTTATATATCTATACTATACATATAGCATGTGATATCTAGTATTTGTGTTCATAATACATGTATATGCCATACATATACATACACATATATATTCATTTGTGTGATTGTTTGGGTAATATCTGCTCTGCAATCATACCGTAAGCTCTAAAATGAGAGTGAGGTGGATCTACTTTGCTTACCACTATATCTTTGTGGTTCACCGCAGAATGTCTATAAAAATTAGTTGAATAATAGCTGTAAAGCATTTAACATGTAATTTGACTTATTTTAAGAACTCAGTAGATGGTACCTATTATGATTGTACTGCTATTGCTTGTGCTATTAAAATAGTCTTAATATGTTGGGTATCAAATTTTGATCTGGATTGTATATTTGTAAGACTTCTATTTCAGAAATTCATAAGCTTGCCTCAAAGGTTGCTCATACAGTTTGTCTTTAACTGATTATAATTTCAGGTAACGTCATCAACCTCGACAGCTCTGGAGTCATAACCTCAAGGAGAAATAGGATAAGGAGGGACTATAGCAAACTAAACAATGTATGTACTGCCCCAAAAGGCCAGCCAGTTTTCCAATTCCTCTTTTTTTGGGGGGTGGAGGGGATGGAGTCTCACTCTGTTGTCCAGGCTGGAGTGCAATGGCACAATTTTGGCTCATTGAAAGACTTTAACTGACTCTGGGGTTCAAGCAATTCTCCTATCTCAGCCTCCGAAGTAGCTGGGATTAGAGGCATGCAGCACCACACCTGACTATTTTTGTAGAGGCAAGGTTTCACCTTGTTGGTCAGGGCTGGTTTCAAACTCCTGATCTCAGGTGATCTACCAGCCTCCGCCTCCTGAAGTGCTGAGATGACAGGCATCAGCCTCCAATCCATTTAGACTTGCTTTCACAAGTATAAATGCAGTACTATCAGGCCTTCAGACTTTTTTTTTTTTTCAAGAGAAGCTAAAATTAATATTTTGAAATTAAAATATAAAATTTGAAAGCTAATTAAAAATGTCTGGACTCTGTGGTCTGTATCATACTGTGAACTTTTTGCCTTCATGCTACTTACAGACAGTTTGTGAGCTCTGCTTTTAGGAAAGTTGTCTTGTGGGCTGAGGTTTTATTAATACTCTTCTTGTATTTCACTTGCCCTTTACATTGATATTGTTCTGTGGTTTTCAAATAAGTGTTAACAGCGTAATTTCATTGCTTTATAATAAATTTAATTCTAGCTGTTGCTTTTGTATTTCTACCTCTCTATTTTTTGTTTCTCCAAATCCTGCTCCCATTTTTTTCTTGATGTCAGAAGAGTTTTTAAAGCTAATTATCTATTATAAGTCTAGGATTTTTCACAAATAGGAAAAAAAAATGGAACTACACAGTATTTTCAAGCCACAACACAATAAATCATTTTAAAAATCTGTTAGTAAACTCACTACAGAGAGAAGAACTGACACATTAAAGTGGAAGTGATGAATTTATATGCAGTGAATGTATTTGGTCTATAAACCCACTAGGCAAAAGTTAGCTTTTCTTTAATATCTTTAAGTAATAATTTTTATTTATTTTTTTTTTCAATTTCAACTTTTCTTTCAGATTCAAGTGGTATATGTGCACGTCTGTTACATGGGTATATTGCTTGACTCCGAGGCCTGGGGTATTAATGATTCTAACACCAAGTAGTGAGTATAATACCCAATAAGTCATTTTGTGGTCCTTTCCCCCTACTCCTTTCTTCCTGCCTAGAAGTCTCCAATGACTACTGCTGTCATCTCTCTGTCCCATGGGTACCCAATGTTTAGCTTCCACTGGGAGAACATGCAGTATTTGGTTTTCTGTTTCTGAGTTAATTCACTTAGAGTAACAGCTTCTAACAGTATCCATGTCGCTGCAATAGATATAATTTTGTTCTTTTTTATTGCAGCATAGTATTCCATATTGCATATGTGCCACATTTTCTTTATCCAGTCCACCCTTGATGAGTATCTAAGTCAATGCCACATCTTTGCTATTGTGAATAGTGCTGAGATGAATATACAAGTGTGTGCATCTTTTTGGTAGAATAATGTATTTTCCTTTGGGTATATTCCCATTAAAGGGATTGGTGGTTTGAATGATAGTTCAACTTAGTTCTTTGAGAAACTTCCAAACTGCTCTCCACAGTGGTCGAACGAATTTATGCTCCCACTATCATATCACTGCATATAAATTCACTGCTGCCACTTTAATGTGCCAGTTCTTCTCATGTATGTCTGTAGTTGAGTTTACTAAACAGATAAAAAAAATTGATTTGTGCTGTTACTTGAAAACACTGTAGGCCAGGCACGTTGACTCAAGCCTGTAATCCCAGCACTTTGGGAGGCCGAGGCTGGTGGATCACGAGGTCAAGAGATCAAGACCATCCTGGTCAACATGGGGAAACCCAATCTCTACTAAAAATACAAAAAAATTAGCTGGGCATGGTGGCACATGCCTGTAGTCCCAGCTACTCAGGAGGCTGAGGCAGGAGAATTGCCTGAACCCAGGAGGCAGAGGTTGCAGTGAGCTGAGATCGCGCCATTACACTCCAGCCTGGGTAACCAGACCGAAACTCTGTCTCAAAAAAGAAAAAAGAAAAAAAGAAAACACTGTATAGTTTCATTTTTTTTCCTTTTTGTCAAAAATTCTATACTTATATAATTAGCTTTAAAAGTTCTTCTGACATCAATAACCATTACCTTTTCTCTCAGCCTCACCAACATGGTCTGTATTTTGACATATTAATAGTAGCCACTCTGACGTGTGTGAGGTACTATCTCACAGTTTTCATTTGCATTTCTGGTTTTCATTTGCATTTCATTTTTGGTGATTAGTGATGTTGAGCATGTTTTTATTTTATTTTTTAACATATATATTTTATTGTACTTTAGGTTCTGGGGTACGTATGTAGAACATGCAGGATTGTTGCATACATACATACATGGCAATGTGGTTTGCTGCCTCCATCCCCTCATCACCTATATCTGGCATTTCTCCCCATGTTATCCCTTACCAATCTCCCTACTCCCTGCTGTTCATCCCCTACTCTCCCTGACAGACCCCAGTGAGTGATGCTCCCCTCCCTGTGTCCATGTGTTCTCATTGTTCTACACCTGCCTGTGAGTGAGAACATGCAGTGTTTGATTTTCTGTTCTTGTGTCAGTTTGCTGAGAATAATGGTTTCCAGATTCATCTATGTCCCTACAAAGGACACGAACTTATCGTATTTTATGGCTGCATAGTATTCTGTGGTGTATATGTGCCACATTTTCCCTGTCCAGTCTATCATCATTTCATAGTCCTTCCCCCCTACTCCTTTCTTTCTGCCTAGAAGTCTGCAGTGACTACTGCTGTCATCGCTCTGTCCCATGGGTACCCAATGTTTAGCTTCCACTTTGGAGAACATGCAATATTTGGTTTTCAGGTTGGTTCCAAGTCTTTGCTATTGTAAACAGTGTCCCAATAAACAAACATGTGCATGTGTCTTTATAACAGAATGATTTATAATCCTTTGGATATATACTCAGTAATGGTATTGCTGGGTTAAATGGAATTTCTATTTCTAGGTACTTGAGGAATCACCACACTGTCTTCCACAATGGTTGAACTAATTTACACTCCCACCAAGAGTGTAAAAGTGTTCCTGTTTCTCCACATCCTCTTCAGCATCTGTTGTCTCCAGACTTTTTAATGATCCCCATTCTAACAGGCGTGAGATGGTATCTCAATGTGGGTTTGATTGTTTTTTTATATTTTTGTTGGCTACACGCATGTCTTCTTTTGAGAAGTGTATATTCATGTCCTTTGCCCATTTTTAACGGTGTTGTTTTTTGCTTGTTAAATTGCTTAAGTTCTTTATAGATTCTGGATATGAGACCTTTGTCAGATACATAATTTGCAAATATTTTTTCCCATGCAATGATTTTTCTTAGGAAACATTTTTCCATAGAAAAATAAAACTAGATTTTTATGTTAGCAGTGGCAGAAACTACTGGATGTCAACAAACTTAAAATGCAAATTTTAAAATCAATATTAAAATAATTACTTAGAATTTTTATGTACTGTATATCTACAAAAATGTTGAGTTTTTTAGATATAGATTTTTATCAAATATCACACAAAATCACATTGCTCTGTTTCCTTGCCTTTCTGCAGAAACCCAGTGTGATTTTGTGAAGATATTTTGAATCATGAACACAACATATGCAGTACTGTCAATGCAAGTAACTCAAATGAAGTGATGACAAGATAAAACACTTGTGATCAAGTTCAGGAGTGTGTAGGCAGTGACGATTACGTTGTGACTGTCACCTGGCCAACAGTAATTCATTTTAAGTTGAATCCCTGATTCAGAAGTAGCCAAGTATAAAAATATGCATATTACTATTAATGAAATACTTTCATCTATAGTGCTTAAATGAGTTTCTGAAGTATTAATTTTATAGGAAAACTTACGTTTACTTTTCTTTAAACCTTAAAAATTTTAAAAACTATATATTTAAAAATAAACTACTTTCACAACAGAATCAATCCGTGGTCAATGATTGAACTGACTGAATATTTTATGCTGCTTTTTTGCCTAGGGTAATCTACAGTGCTATCCACTAAACTGCTGCTCTCTTGCTTCAAGAAAGAATGAATAAAACCTTCAAAGTAACTCATAACTTTTTACAAGGAACTGAAATAAGTCAACATCATGAATATAAATATTTCAAACTTGATAAAAACAAACATTTAATTACCTAAAGCTCTAGGTTGGGTACTTCAGGGAATACAATAATAATAAAAATATTCCAGGTGGGGGAAAAAAATATTCCAGGCTGGGCAGGGTGGCTCACTTCTGTAATCCCAGCACTTTGGGAGGCCAAGGCAGGCAGATCACTTGAGGCCAGGAGTTTCAGACCATCCTTGCCAACATGGTGAAAGATTTGGAAAGTGTTGAGAAGGAGGTGGGATTTGAATAAAGTCTGGAAGAATAATTTGAGAAAATATACTAGAAATAAATGCATTGAGGGTTTACTATTTTAGGTGCTACAGATACATATTCACATTAAATTCTAATAGGTATTATTATTCTCAGTTTACATATGGGAAAACTGAGGCCAGATAAATTAAGGAATTTGCTCAAAATGCCACAACCTAAGCTGGTTCCATTTTCAGCACAGCCTTTTCCAAGCCTTCTACTTTCCACAAGAGTCAACAAAGTGCAGAATGGATCCTGAAGAAGACTCGGTTGGAATTCTCCCTTCCTTACAGTCCTGATTTGTGTAAAGCGCTCAACTTCTCTGTTTCTATAATTTGCTTATCAAGGAGATAACATTATTTTTCCAAGGGACTGTTGAGGTACTTAAATGAGCTCTTGCAAGTAAAACGCCTGGAATAGCAATTGGCATACAGCGCTCAATGGGTATTAGCCATTATGTTGTAAGAAAAAGTAGAAATAGGGAAGAGGGAAAGAGTAGACAGTGAGGAGGAGGAGGAGATGAGGAAGATTTTCACCCACTCAAAGTGTCTCCTTGACAAGTAGAGTGCATTCCGGAACAAGGGATCAGAATAGCAAATACGTAGATAGGCAAAGACACATCTTTATCTGCTTTCTTACTAAAAATCTAGGAAATATGGGCAGGAGCTGTCATGCTGGTATCATTCCAGCCTAGATGAAAATTACTGGGAATATATGTTCCAATGGTCTTGACAGTAAACAGATTATCATACTTTAATTTTTCTTTAGTTTTTTTTTTTTTTGAGATGGAGGTTTGATCCTGTCCCCCAGGCTGGAGTGCAGTGGCACGGTCTCAGCTCACTGCAACTTCCACCTCCTGGATTCAAGCGATTCTCCTGCCTCAGCCTCCCGAGTAGCTGGGATTATACATGCCCACCACCACGCCTGGATAATTTTTTGTATTTTTAGTAGAGAGGAGGTTTTTCCATGTTGGCCAGACTAGTCCTGAACTCCTGACCTCAGGTGATCTGCCTGCCTCTGCCTCCCAAAGTGCTCGGATCCTCCCAAAGGAACTGGATATTTGGTATCTCTAGCAAGACAGAGCTGCTTTAGAGTCTCCCCAGGGAAGGATGGTGCTTTTGGGCAGGTAGGTAGTTTGGTGAAGGTGATGACAAAAATCCTAAGGGGCCTGACTCCTGGGAAGCCTCCCTCTTTCCCCACTTTACCAATTATCTCACTTTCATAATAAGGTCTGTGCTTTCCTTAATTGCTTCACTTCCACCAACAGGTGCAGGGGAAAGATAAATACATTTCACCTTTCAATGAAGAGATTGTCAGGTAGCCTGTGGGAGATGTTTATATATTAATAATAATAATTTTAAAAATCTGGTAGGGGGCGGTGTCTCACACCTGTAATCCCAGCACTTTGGGAGGCAAGTGGATCGCCTGAGGTCAGGAATTTGAGACCAGCCTGGGCAACATGGCGAAATCCAGTCTATACCAAAAATAACAAAAATTAGCCTGGCTGATAGTGCGCACCTGTAATCCCAGCTACTTGGGAGGCTGATGTGGGAGGACAGCTTGGACCCAGAGGAGGAGGTCTCAATGAGCCGAGATCGCGCCACTGCACTCCAGCCTGACCCCCCCCCCCCAAAAAAAAGTAGTTGGTCTGTGAACTCACTTGTAAACAACTGGATTTTACGGACGCTTAGATATTTGGAGGAGCACGAGGTTTCTTTAAGATCACCTATTTTCCTTCGCTGCCTCCTTTGTCAGAGTCCAACTCAAAGGGGAAATGGCCCTCCGGGAACTAACCACCACAGGTGCAAGAAGGAGCACATTTACATAGAAACAGCCTGGGGAAATTAGTGCCCTAGATGAGTCTTCAGTTTGGGAAACGCTGAGCTAACACTGAAAGTGCTTGGAAGAGTAACAGTAATAATCAGTCGGGGCGAGGTTCCGCCCATTTGACATTCAACCCCCATGAGGGCGCACAGACAAACACATTGGCCAGGAGACAAGACAGGGTCCCGGGCATCTCCGCCCCGGGGAGGTGGGTAATGCCCTTGTCGCTCTGTGCTCCAGGGCGCGCCCTCGAAGCTTCCCCGGCGGGGCCCGGCACCCCCGGGCCGAGGTGCGCCAGGTGGCGAGGGTGCCAGGCGCGGCCAAGTCGCGGCTGACTGAGTCAGTCGCCCAACTATGCTGCGGAACCAGGACGGCCGGCTGAGCCGCCCCCGCCGTTGAGCTCCGGCTGCCCCCGCGTGGGTCGCCGGCTCCCCGCCCCCGCGGGCTGAGAGGAAGCAGTGGCCCAGGCGAGGCGCGGGAGCACCTGAGCAAGGCGCGGGCGCCCGCTCGGCGTTTCCGGAGCTGCGCGCGGGTCCGCGGCCCGCGCTCCCCGCCTCCAGGTGCGGCGGGCGCGGAGCGCCGGCCCCACTAACAGCGCCGCCCGCAGCAGAGGCGGCCGCGGGCAGCCGGCGGGGACCGGGAAAGAGGAGGCCTGGCGCCTTGGGGAAGAGGGGCGAGGACAGAGCGCCCAGGGCTGGGAGAGACGCTGGCGCCTCAGCGCCGGCTCACCTCGCTTTTCGAACTCTGTGGCGGGCGCGCAAGGCGAGTACCCGGGGTCTCGGGAGGGCTGAGCCGGGGTGGGAGGACCCTGTCTATCGGGGCTGGGGCTTTTCGCCACTTCACAGTGTAAATTTCCAGGGCGCAAAGTGCTCACTTCTGGTGTCCGCCCAGTGGATTTCGCTCCCGCGTGTGGGCGTCTGAAAGGAAACCAGAAGCCGGTAAGTGATACAAGAACTCCACTTCTGGGATTTGACCCGGGAGGGTGAAGATCCGGATAGACAGCTAGACACTCCCTCCATTCCTCTCCCCCACCTTCCAATAAGAAGGGACTGAAGTGAGTTTCAGGCACCAAGTTATTTACTCGGTAGAGATCGTGACTTTGCCCGGTTCTCTGTGCTGCCCCGCACCCTGCTTGTTATCCACGTTAAGACTACTGGCCTGTTAATTAACTTTAATTACGATCATTTGGCCTCTACCTGCCTGAACCCGATACCTTACAGGGGAACCTGTCGGCAGTGAATTTACCAGATTGATCTTTCTTGTTTACTTTTGGAGACAGTTCTCTTGGGAGAAATGGTGTCCATCCTATTTGATAAAGTAAGTTTTATTTTACCTAATTCTGGCTTGTTTTCTTAAACACTTCTCCCACCTTGAGGTGATCTGGAGTTATTTTGATTTGGGCAAAGGCTTCGTGAAATGATACAGGCTTTGATAGAGAAAAAAATACAAGAACATAAGCTAGTTTGTGTGGAATAATGACATCTTAAGCTTTTGTAAATTAGATATCCTGATAGCAAATTCTCTTTCTTTCTTTCTTTTTTTTTTTGCTTGTCCTCTACTCAGTGGGATACGGCCTTTGGTTAAAAAAAAAAAAAGTTGAAGTGTATTGGAAATAAGCTATTTTTAAAAGTACATTTAATAGGATGTCATTGTTATTACCCATAATAGTATTGTATTTACAAGCTCGGTATTGATTTCTCTGCACTTAAGCACTCTACACCCCCGGGCTTATGGAACCTTGCCCATAAGTAATTGGAAGATGAAGTTGTGGGTGTTTTAAAAAGGAAGCTAACTTTTTTTTTTTTTTTTGCTTAAAAAAAGAGAGAGAAATACCTTTAAACTCCTATTTGTGACTTCCATACTCTTACAGGAGAAATATTTAGAGAAAATGATCATGATGTTCATTGTCCAACAAAGTTTAAAGAAGAAAAAAAAAGTAGGTCATGGATCTAGGCTAGGGTCTAAAGTGCAAATATCTTCCTGGCGTCGTTCCAAACATATTTAACACGTACACATTTAAGGTGGTTCCTAACATGAAGAAGGTTTTATATAGATTTGTCATTACTCAAAGATTTATTTAAATTAAAATGTACCTAGAGGGTAAGTGAGAGAGCTTGTTACAACTTACATGGATGTGCATGGGTTTGTATTTTTCCTTCCTCTGTAAACTTGTCAGATTTTATGTGGCTTGTCTGTAAAAGGAGAAGCTGATGGTACATTAAAAACAAATTCTTGTTTTTCTCATATCACTGCAAGCTCCTTGCAGTGTATGGCTCATGCGCATTCGATAATGATCAGATCTAACTATTCTTGGATACTGTGGATAAGTAGAGAACTCAGATTATAATGAATTACAGTGTTCTTAAGAACTTTTACATTAATGCATTGAAACTGTGAAGTTTTTAAAGCCTGCTTAGGATTCTGGGTTATAGATGTTGTGATATATGAGTTTTTTTGTTTGTTTGGTTGGTTGGTTTTGTTACTTTCTAACCTATCTCCCTGCAACTATGAGAAAGTTTGGTGAAAGCCACTATAAAAATGTTGAGTATAAATGATAGTCATTACTTTAATAGTTTTCTTTTAGCACACATTTCCACCTGCCCCATTTATTTATTGACGTATTTCTTGGATACATCTTTGCACATGCTACACTGTAAGACTTTTGGGAATTCTTTGTGAAACATTAATTAGGTAGCGAACTTCTTAATAATCTGGGAAATATGTCTTAGCTTTGACAAA